AAAGGCTGAAAACAGGCTGAAATACATCATGTATACACTGATATACATATCAGTGCAACAAATACGTGGCTGAAATCGGAAATACAGGTCGCAAGGGGAAGAAATGGATTGTATACACTTGGTATACGGTTCAATATACAAGAAAATTGGTCAAAATCCGACCCGTATACAAGAATATACAACAGATATATACAAAAACGGAAATTGGGTTAAATCCCAAAGTGGCTGCGAATTTAGGCCCAAGAGAGGCCCAAATTCAATTTCTCCTTTACCTAACTTATTTAATTGTGTGATTATTCATTTATCTATTTTTTATTTTTTTTCAATCGCGACTTAATTTAATTAAATCCCCCAAAAGATGAACCATATTCTTTATGTTAGTTTTCTTTAAAAATAATTCATTCTTATCAACTCTTATACTTATTCAAATATTATTAATTTTTTAGTCAAAACTTTCACTTATCTTTAATTTGATTAAAATAATTTCTTGGTTTATCTACCAAGTTGGTTCAAATTATTATTTCTAAAAAATGACGTAAATAAATTTTAACTGATCTAATTTTGTTAAAATCCTAATTGACCAAATTGTTTCAATTAAGATCCTATTTTCTAAAAAATTAAAAATTATTCTTTATTTAATTATTTTTATCAAAGTTAATCGAATGTCGTAAAATACTATATATTTTATGATTAAATCATTTTCCAAATTTTCTTTTTTTTAAAGATATGTTCTTTAAGAGTCTTCTTCATTTAAATCACTTTTTTTTTACTCATTTCAAAATCGTTCTAAGTTAAAGTATTTTTCAAAATAAACTTTAAAAAATGTTAGTCAAAACCCTTTCAATTGATTAATAATAATAATAAAATAAAAAAATACTTACTTAGTCATTTTCTCACAAAGTTTAGTCAATTAATTTAAAATGATCTTCATGCTTTAATGTGTTAAATTGGTTTAATTTATTTTAAAATGAACTAAATAAAATTCTAATTAGTCTAGTTTTATTAATTTTCTAACCACTTGTACCTTAATTCAAATGTTTTCATTTTAGGTCTCTTCCTCTAAAAAGATAGAATAAAATAGGTTCATTTCTTAATTATTTTCTCAAACTTAATCGAACAGTGTAAATTATTATATATTTTATGTTAAATTATTTTTTGTAAAAATAGTCAAATACATTTTAGTCAAGTCACAGGTCAACCGCGTGCTAGCGGACACTTCGAATGCTTAAACCCTTCTCGAAGTGTAAATTGAACCCCGAACCCCCTTTTGGTATTTTCAAATGATTTTTTCTGTTTAAATCTTTGAAAATTATAAGTTTTCTTAATTTCTTTAAAAAATTAGGTGGCGACTCTTTTCTAAGTATTCTTCTCCAATTGTCTTTTACATAGAACATTTCAAAATGTGATTTTTCTATAAATAGCTAAATTACGGCACAACAATGATTCCATATCATGATACCATATCGCATGGCCAAACTCTAGTCTCCCTGTTAACCCTTCTTTCCTCATTCTAATTTCTAAACTTATGTTTTTGCACTTCTCTATCATAATTGTTAAGTCTTCTTTACAAATTATAAGCCCACATAGTTTTATTTGTTCTTTTACTCTTTAAAAATTATTGTCTCCACTCGCACACTACTTTTTGATTAAATCCCTCCCCCCAAAAACCCAAAATTTCTAAACCTATCTACAGTCTCCCCGTTAACCTTTTAACAGATGGAAAAAAAAAAATCCCTCATTCTAATATTTAACCCCTTTTTTTTGGAACTTTGCTATCATAATCATAAGTTTTTTAAGGAGTTTCCTTCCAAACTTTATTGCTAGTAATAATAAAGATAATGGTGCCCCCATTGCGTTCAAATTCTAAGTACGCCTCTGATCAGGAGATATAGAACAGCTCGAAGCTTCAGTTATGGATAATACAAAAAGATGACATATGATGGCATTCAGAGGAAGAACCGTCAATAGTAAGATATATAAGAATTTCATGGGTAGACAAACTTGCATTATGTCAGTAAAAAATGGACAAAGCACAGAAGACCTATATACAATGTAGGACTATCAACATAACTTTGAAAAAAAAAAGATTGCTTACTTGAGGATAATACTTTTACAAAGCAGAACAATGCCTCCAAAACAATTTCCTATGGCCCATGCCTTAATCAGTTTTGCACATTCGATTGCCGTTGTACAGGGTCTTCAAAAGGCTGCTGAAGCACAGGCATCTATTATATTATCCAATTCCCTATAATTTTGAAAAACATCTCGCCCTTGATTTCTCCACCTGAGCATTCTGTCATAGAGATCCTTCATGTTCAGCTGTATGCTGTTTATCTCTAGTGTGAGTTGGAGTAGCCTTTTCACACACTTGACTAGATATCTACCAACCTTTAGTTTCACGTCACACACAAAATTGAGTCCACATTCCTCAGTTTCAAACATAGAAGCTGATATACTTTCACTTACATCAGTTATGTCAAAGACAATACGAGCTCCTGCTGTAGCCTCTTTTCCTGTGTATGTCTCAGCCCATGCAATCAAACCTTTTTGCCTTTCATGGTTAGATTTCCTATCCTTCATTCCAGGTTGTCCTCCGGTTAATTGCATGAGAGTACCAGTTGCACCATAATGCAAAAGCAGTTCACATTCAGCATCACTTATATGATTCAAGCATCCGAACAAGATGCCTATTGGTATCCTCCGAAACAACATGTTCTTCTGTACACTAACACCTGGTGTTCGTTCTTTATCTGGAGCAAAGCTTTCATTTACTTTGTCTGAGTGCCCATTGTACATGTCCTGAAATTCTTTAATCCAGAAAGCAAGTGCTTGGCAATTGGAATCCAGGATATTCACCATTTCCTTCTTAAAGGACAGAGATCCCCTGACTTCCTTGTTGCGACAAAGAGTTGTCTCATTGCCTTCATCAGAGCCAAGCTTCTTAATAGTCCATAAATTGGAAAATTTGATCAGATTATCAACTAAAAGTTCCAAGTAGGATCCACCAGCAGGGTTCAAACTCCATGCTATAAACTTTGCAGCAGTAGCAAGAAAAGGAGCTTTAACGTCCTGTGAATTGTTAAGATTACCTTCTCCATATATGCATGCTGACCTGTACTTGTCCCTCAAACTCTTTTCTGAGAAGAGCAAAATAGAAGCGAAAATGAACCAAGAAGGGAAAGTTATTGTAATTGCCCTGAAATAAATAGCAGAGACAGTACCATATTAGCCATAAACTCAGACAGTGCAAACTAATTGTGTGAAACATCATGAAACAAAAACTTACCAAATAGAACTTTGATTTACTTTGGCAATATTCACAGCTTTATTTGAAAATGCGTCAACTGGCTTGCAAACTTCATGAACTAGAAACTCCAAAGATTCCAAGGACAAAGGTCCAGTCAAAATCCTCAAAATCTGCTTCTTGCATGGAAAGTAAGAATGTGAAAATGGAAGTTTTGATCCAAGATCCATTGATATGCCCCACCACATTGGTCTGGAAATAATATCTAGCACTAGGGAGACCAGCTTAACATGAAGCTCTAGAATAGAAGCCAAACCCCTGCAAAACAACAGTGCAACAATGAGGAACCCAAAAGATCTAACAACAGGAGAATCTTTCAAATTAATTAGAGTTTTCAAGTAGTATATTAACATCACAGAGAGCCATAATGTTATCCTTCAATAGAAAAATCCAAGAAGAAAATGATGAATTAGATAAAAATTTATAATGCAGTACAAAATATATATGCAAGCATATAGACTAAAAAGCTTATAGAAATTACTGGAGTTATCTGTACAGAAACCTTACTGGTTACTGACAACAGGAAAGAAGAAAAGAAAAACAGGTGTGGGACTTACGTCAGTAGAAACCAGTAATGCAACAGGGATCTAGTCTCAGTAAACATGACAGGAGAAAGTACCAAACATATAACAATTGAACGCCACTCTTTCCTCTCATGAAATTCCATTTCTAAACAAAGGAAAGGTCTCTTAATGACCTCTTGCAAAATTTGAGATACATCATACTTCAGAAGCATGTGATCTAGTTGCCATGAGAGCAACCTGCGAGCAAAGGAAACTATTATGGAAAAAGTGATTCATTAGATGGCTTACACCAAAACAATTAAGAAGCAACTCATATGAATCAGGTGCACATGTTTACAAGACTAAAATTCATGTAATTAACACAATAGTTTATGCAATCTTATTAGCATATTTATCATGAAGGACACAGATAGCATTTCCCATTTACTAAGACAGGAAATCAACACTGTCATTTCTCTTGTAACATTAAACTATATTGCCTCAATGCCAAATGTAATCTATTCTCATTTTTTTGATATAAGAAATCGATATGCATATCAGTCCAGGAAACAAAAAAGGGACAATCAAGAGTACTGTTCTTTTTCTAACTTCAGTTCAAGCTGTCTTTTGTATCCAGAGACTTCTAAGAGACATGATGCAACATTAAGCATGTTTAATCAGAACTACAAGAAAAATTGAAGTAATTGGATGACATGGAATTCCAAAATATGATACAATATAAGAAATAAAGGTAGGCCAACAACCTAGTAGGTTCGAAATAGAGGATACAGAAATAAAAAATCCATGAATAATAGAAAAGCTGTTTAACCAACCTTAGCGGTATTTTTCCACTCTCAATGTTAATTTCCTTTTGACAATGTACCTGTTTCAGCAAAGCACAGTGTCTTCCATCAATGGATCTTAGGTCAAGCATAGGAGGCAATTTCAGTAAATAGTGAACTCGTGATGCTACTGCCACCCTCACAACAGCATACAAAATGATTGGAGAAAGATCTGCTGGAATAACATATAACATGCCAAACATTTCAATAAATAAGTTCAACTATAATTAGCAAAGACTACAATCAATGGGAAAGCAGATATGGAAATTCTACAAACTCGTTAACATCTTTTTGTATTTCTATGCTTCTACTGATTATGTTGACCTGAAAACCAACTCTCTGACATGAAAGAAAGACCCTACAGAACATAGGACCTAAGTAAACTTACTAACATGACTAAACCTTAATCACAACTAATTGGTATCACCTATGCACATCTTTTTCTCCCATTATGTCCTATATTTTGCTAAGTCTTGATGGATTCAGGAAATTATAAGTCTTTAGCGACAATTTCCTACCATTTAATGTTAGATCAACCTATCCATTCTAAACGTACAACCGCTGCTTCTAGAGGTCTACATGAAATTTCTTCATTTAGCATCCTCTCTACACAAAAGAAAGCAGCTTTTAAATAGAAACCTAAAACATGCATAGTTGAAAAAGACAATTACGTTGAAATCTTTCAAGTTTCTGCAGAACATCAGCACAAGATTCAACTATTCTGGTACAATCCTGACCAGAAATCAATCCACCAATTTGCAGAACCTCCCCGTCAGCAGTTTTAAGAACCTTGCATTCAATTGAAGAAGATAGCACTGTAGCAATCGTCTTCACCAAGTACTCAATTGTACAGTTAAAGACCTACAGGTAATTACAAAATTGCAGAAACATCTCAAATTAGACATTCAAAATGAAAAAAAAGCTCATAATTATCTTCTTCTTTTACTTTCGTTGTTTTGTGATGAGATATGACCTGGGATGATGTGAAGCACAAAGCGGAAAGGGCAGTGTCCAAAACCCTAACTCTAGAAATTGTTTCGGCGAGGTTAAGCGAACGGTTGAGATTTGTGATAGAGAGGTCCATATTTGGAGCTTCATTTCCGGTCGCCGGACTTATGGACTTCAGTTCAGATGCTAGTGACACAAAGAGTGACCTTATTTCTGGAACCGTCGACATTGACAGCAAACAAGACTACCCTGGAGAATTATTTCCCGCCAACTTCCCCGATTTATTTGGAATGATAAAAAGGACAGCGACCGCTTCAACATAACTAGTGTTTTATTTATTATTTTTTTAAGAGAGAGAATTATTCAAAACACCTAACTTGGAAATTATTATTTTTGTTTTTGAATTATCTAAATTTCAGGACAGAAGAGAAAAATATTGCAAAACATGTTTTTTTTTCTTAATAAAAGAAAAGAGAAACGTTTACTAATAGTGAGGTTTGAAACCACATTACTAGTATGGAAAACATTACTAGTGTCCCTTTCTTACCACCGAGCCATAAAATCAATTTTTTTAGGGAGTTCACAAGTTAGTATATATATATCTATATCTATATTACCTTAAAAGCATGAACTCCTAACTTGAATGTTAAATTACTATAATATCTCTAACTTAGGTTGTGACTTTTTCGATGAGTTGTGACTTTTTTCAAAGGGTTGTGATTTATCGATGAGTTGTGACTTTTCCAAAGAGTTGTGACTTTTTCAATAAGTTGTGACTTTTTCAACGGGTTGTGACTTCTTGAAAAGTTCATGACTTTTCAGATAAGACACAAAAAAACACTTGTTCACACTACCCTTTGTTGGCTATAAATAAAGGAGTTTCCTCTCATTATTCAACCACAATTTTTTTTAATCTACTCTTCTTCTTCTAGATAATTAATATATACTCATTTTCATAGTCATAAATACACTTATGCAACCTCTCCTTTATAAGAAGTGTAATGATTTTCTGCTGCACAAACTACAACTTGGTGTTCAAGCTATGTAAGTCTCAAACTGTTGGAGAAAAATAATTTGATCAAAAATTTATTTGAAGAGTCCAAACTAGTTTTAATAGGTATTCTTATGTGTCTAATTTATTTGTTGTAATTTTATTTGTATTCAGTTTAATACATAAAAAAATAATCATGAGAGGTGGCGACGCATCTTTAAGACCACAAAGTTAAAAAACATTTTGATATATAATACATATCCTTACATTAAAAGTTTTCTTTATTTTTTGAAATTTCATGTCAAGTTAAAATTCGACAAATCTATATCCCTTTGTAGTCTATAAATAGAAAGTTTTTCACACACTTTTCCACAAAGTTAAAAGACATTTTGATATATAATACATATCCTTAAATTAAAAGTCTTCTTTATTTTTTGAAATTTCATGTCAAGTTCAAATTCGACAAATCTATATCCCTTTGTAGTCTATAAATAGAAAGTTTTTCTCACACTTTTAAACTACGAATTTTGTAAGTTTTATGTTCTTCTTCTTAAAACAAGAAAGATTGTGAGAGTTGTTTAGTTATGCAATTACAATATTTTTGTGGGTAAACTAGACACATCAACAAAAATTGATGCAACAAGGAGAATGAAATAACTCAACTTTAAACAAGAAGACTATCTAGATAATTAATATGTACTCATTTTCCTAGCCATAAATATACTTTTGCAACACCTTTTACTTGATAAGAAGTTCAATGATTTTCTGTTGCACAAACTACAACTTGGTGTTCAAGTTGTGTAAGTCTCAAACTTTTGGAGAAAAAATGATTTGATCAAAAACTTGTTTGAAGAGTTGAAACTAGATTTAATAGGTACTCCTCCATTTTCAATTTATTTGTTGTAAATTTATTTTTTATTCAGTTTAATATAGAATGTTCTTTTTTCTTGGGGGTGTGGTGGCACTTCTTTAAGACCACAAAGGTAAAAGACATTTTTATATATTCTACATGTCCTTAAATTAAAAGTTTTTAAAATAAAATAAAATTTCAAGTTAAACTAAAATTAGACAAATCTATATATATCTTTTTTATCTATCTATACTACCTTGAAAGAATGAACTACCTAACTTAAATGTTAAATTATTATAATACTCCAAACATAAAACACCAAATTTAGTATATCTTCTATATTTTGTATTGTATATATTACATTATATTATAATATTATATTATAATATTATATTATATTATATTATAATATTATATTATATTATATTATATTATATTATACTAAAAGCAGACAGCTTTTCACATTAAAGGGTTGTGATATTTTCAAAGAGTTATAACTCTTTCGATGAATTGTGACATTTTTGAATGGTTGTGACTTTTCTACAGGATTGCGACTTTTGCGAAGAGTTGTGACTTTTCTGAATGGTTGTGACTTTTCCATAGAGTTATGACTTATTCGATGGGTGTGACCTTTTTGAAGGATTGTTACCTTTAGATCTAAAGGGTTGCGACTTTTTTAGCACAATAAGCATTTTTTCATAAACTACCCTTTTGTCTAAAAAAAAGTGGGGTTTCCTCAAAAAATTTAACTACAATTTTTAAAAGTTTTTCATCGTTTTTCTTCTTCTTAAAACACAATATTTAGTATATCTTCTATATTTTATATCATATTTATATTATATTATATTATATTATATTATATTATATGAAATTAAAAGAATACATCATTTCACATTGAATGGTTACGATTTTTTCAAAAGAGTTGTGATTTTTCCGATGAGTTGTGACCTTTCTTAGGGGTTGTGACTTTTATGATATGCTCATACTACCCTATGTTAACTATAAATGGAGGGGTTTCCTTACATTTTAAAACTATGATTTTTTATGTTTTCTATTCTTCTCTTAAGCTCAGTTAAATTTAAACACTCCCTAACATGAATGTTAAGTTAATATAACAATCCAATTAAAAACATCCAATTTAGTATATCTTATATATTTTATATCAATTTTATTTATATTATATTACATTAAAAGTAAGAACTCCAACAATACAATAATAACTAAGTAGCGCACTATGGGCAGGGAGGACAAAGTATATTTAAGAGGTGTAACTAAGAGATTTTTAGAGGTGATAAGGTAAAAGTACCTCCCTAGACTATGACCAAAATGCCAGGATGTACCTTAGCTAAACTGAGGTCCTATTACCCCCCACCTCGAACCCATTTTTTTGTAATTTTGTGCACCTTTTTTGCTTACATAGCATCTCTCACGCGCCTCAACTCTGTGGAGTCACACGCTGTGCCACGTTACCCAAAATGTGCACAAAATTATAAAAAAAAATGAGTTTTAGAGGGGGGGGGGGGTAATAGGACCTTAGTTTAGTTAAGGTGTGTTGTTGGGATTTCAGTCATAGTTTAGGGGGGTACTTGTGCCTTATCCCATTTTAAGAGTGAGTAACTTTCAGTAGTAATCATAAGAAAGTTTACACCCATTATTCATAGAAACTTTTAGTACATGGTTTGATATTCACGTGCAACGCACGTGCGTCAAAACTAATATATATATATATAAATATATATATATCTATATATATATATTTAGTTTTTTTAATACAAATTCATGGCTTAAGATATCATCCATGAAGTGTGTGATGAGGTTTAGAAAGAAGGAAAAACTTAGACCTAGGTTCATTGGCCCGTTTGAGCCTTTGAGGTCTTGGAGAGGTGGCCTATAAGTTGGCCTTGCCAACTAGACCGTCTATTGTTCATGCTGTTTTCCTTGTTTCCATGCTTCAAAAGTATGTACCCGATGAGTCCCATGTGATTTCGCTTAATTAAGTGCTTTTGGATCTGGATTTGGCATTGAGGAGGAGAATATATATTGGATTGACAGGTTTGAAAGCTAAGGACTAAGGATATAGCTTATGTTAAAGTTCAATGGAAGCACCACCAGATTGGAGAGGCTACTTAGAAGATCGAGTCTGATATGCTTTCCAGATATCCTCAACTTCTCGAAGCTTCAGGTATTTTTCCTTATTTTATGTTCGAGGACAAACATGGATTTTAGTGATAGATAATGTAATAACCCTGAAGGTCATTTTGAAATTTCTTGAAAAAAAATACTATTTTATCCCTCTCAATAGTTATCCTGGGTTATGTTTTATCAGTATATGAGGTTAGATTTGAACCTGATCGAAAAGTTGGGATTTTTGAAGGTTTTGGAATCTTGGAAGCCCTTAAGTTAATATAAGTGATTTTAGTTAGCATTTTCTGCTACAAGTCTCAAAATGAAATTATATCAGTTTCATTAGCTCTAAAATGCATACTTTGATCTAGTAGTGTGGTTGTTTTTAGTTCCAAAGACTTTATGTGGATTTGAGCCCATGAGTTGAATTTTTAGTTGAATTTACGCTAAGGTTTGACTTTGGTCAACTTTCAGTGTTCGGGCATTCAAATTTGATTTTCGTTGATTCTGTTGGATTCAAGAGGTAGTTTAAAGACTAGGTAACACCTTGGTTCAGTTTCTAGGGGTTCCGATGGTGTTTTGGTTTTTTTAGTGGAAATTAGTTAGTTATGGGTTGTACAGGTGTTGGGTCAATGAGACCTCGACTCCATGTTCTGATGGTTCAAATGGGTTTAGAATGTCAAATTAAGTAGGGTAGCATATTTAGTTTGTGTGCACAGGATTCCGAATGAATCCCGAGGGTCTATTCAGAGAATTTCGAATCTTGATGGTTTGTTGTCACTGTTGTTATCTGTTGTCTGATGATTTCCTTATCACAATCGTATGGACTTCTACTGTGATAAATCGCATATGTCAAAATTTGGGATTGACCTAATTCCTTCTTCACGACCGCATAGAACAAAGTACATGAGAATAATTTAATTCTCCAAAATGTGATTCTTCTCCATTACTCCATTTTTGAACCTTAAGAACTCAAGTTAGGCAATTTCAAAGGAGATTTTTGAGATCAAACTTTTAGGTAAGTGATTTTAACTTAAACCCTTCATTATCCATTTATTATTTCATGATTTTTAGCATAAAAAATATCTATTTCAAATTCAAAATTTGGAGATTTTCTCATGAATTTGGGTTTTAGTAAATTGGACTTTGGAGTATGATTTCTAACTCGTTTTTTGATATATTTTGCGTGTGAGTTCCTAATTCCTTGAGTAGCATGTTGTTCTATAAAAATTATAGAATTACTCTTAGCCCTCGGGTTTGACCTTTTAGGTTGATTTGGATCCAAATTTTAAAATCAACATTATGAGT